TCATAAAAAGGGATGAGTGACTCCTGGACATGGCACTCTTGGCTGAATGCACAAAGAAGACATGCACAGAGGCCATCCACACTGCTGGTGGAGAAAGAAACACATGCAGACAGGAGGACACAAGACTCTAGTCACTGCCTCCATAAAGCCACCAGTCCCTGGGTATGCTCCCATGAGCATTTCATTCATATTCTCTCAAGAGAGCACTTAGGGCCTTTCATGTTTTTTCCATCTTTTTATTTTCCTTGAAGGAAACTTCTGGAAGAGCTGGCAATACTAGAAGGTAGCTACAGGAAGGGAGGGTATGGCTACTTCTGGGTCACAAGACCATTCTGTTAAGTCCACTGAACAACACCACTTCTGAGCAATACACTCAAGGCATAAGTAAGCAAGAAACTTCAACTCTATACTGAATCATGTTGGAAGCTCTTTGCATTGTGGCCAAGAGTGGGCACAGCCAGAGGAGCCACATGGAAGACTAAGGGCCACAGGCCAGACATTGAGAATATAGTGGTTCTCATACTGCCAAGCACAGGGTGTGTTGTGGTGGGGACATGAGAGGGCAAGATGACTTTCTCAGGAAAGGGTGCCCCAACGAAGGGGATTTGCACTGAAACCCAAAAGAAGATGTTAGCTATTAAAAGGAGCTATATGAAGCAGCTAAATGTCTCTCAGGGTATGTATATCTGCATTTATGAAATGCTTTGAAACCCAAAGGAAGGTATAAAAAATGATAGCAATGAATATAAATAGCCCTTTATGGTTTAAAAGCATTTTTCATGCATTATCCCAGATTCAACAATAGCACCAGAGAGATAAGACAAGAAGTATCACATTCTCTCTTTTAAAATTGAGAAAATAGAGATAAATGGCAGTTGGATGCCTCACCAAGGTCACACATGAAGTCAAGGAGAAGACTGGAGCCCAGGTCTCATTATTCCTGGTTGAGAGCCCTCTTGACTGCACAGCACAGACTTCCCGAGGAAGCTAAGAAATATTGGTGTTAATATCAGGGAAAAAAGGACATGCTGGTCAGGCACTGTTAGGCTCTGGAGGTTCAAAACAGCTGCAATGTGACACGGTCATTTCCTTCAGGAGAAGACCTTGAGATGTGATAGCCTCAACTCAAGAGCAAAATGGCCACTGCATCTACTGATTTCACCTCTCAGTACCCCCAACAAGCCTTCCCTATCTCCCCCAAACTGGTTTTGGCCTCCCAGTTACAAATCTTCTTAGCTTCTGGCCCTTTTCCTAATAGTGTACCTAATACATATTATTGGGAACTGTTGGGAGGAAGGCAAAATGGGAGCCATTTTGGACATTCTTCAAAAGCATAACTACAGCCAGGAACAGTGGTGTATGCCTGTACTCCCAGCTTCTTAGGAGGGCTGAAGGGCAGGATGATTACTCGAACCCACAAGTTCAAGACCAGCTTAGGTAATTATGGTGAGAACAGTTCAAACAATAAATAAATAAAACTACCATATGATCCAAGAATCCCATTTCTAGATATATACAAAAAAATCAAAGCAGGATGTTAAAGAACTATCTGCATGCAATGCCACAACTTCACAGAGGCAGAAGCAACTCAAATGCTCACCGACAGATGAATACAAAAGAAAATGTGGTCTGTCCATGCAGTGGAATACTATGCAGCTCTAAGAAGGAAGAAAATCCTGGGCCAGGGTGTGATTCAAGTGATAGAGGGCTTGCCTAGCATACATAAAACCCAGCACCACAAAAAAAGAAAGAAAATCCTGTCACATGCTACAACATGAATGAACCTTGAACACATAATGCTAAGTGAAAGAAGTTAACCACAAAAGCACAAATACCATATGGTCCCATTCATATGAACTATCTAAAGTAGTCACAAGCATAGAAACATAAAGTAGAAAGTCGGTTACCAAGGGTTGGAGGGAGAAGGAATTTAATGAGTATAGCGTTTCAGTTTTGCAAGTTAAAAAATTCTAGAGATCTGTAGTACAACAATGCGAACACACTTGACAGTACTGAACTGTACACTTTTTCAAAAGTTAAATTTAAGGTTACGCATGTTAACAACCATTTAAAAATCTTGAAAGCATATTAAAGAAGAAAAGAAAAAGATGCCACGACAGATATCATAAATCAAGAAAGAATATCAAGAAGGTACTAGACCAAATGAGAAACAAAGAAACAGAGCACCAGCCAGTAACAACAAAGTCCATATATTTAGCTGAGTCTCACTGGAGTGTGGGCTGGAAAAGGAACAGGAATGCATCCACCTGCTGGAGGCCCAGCTCTAAGGAGGAGCAAGGACATGCTGAGGTAAAGCCCTTCACTCTCTGAGTGCTACCCCTTGGGAAGCAAAGGGGGTCTTCACTGCCACAGCACAGCACACCACTCCAGAAAGGGTCAGGGGCTTTAGATCAGATCTAAAGAGCTTGGCAAGGCACAAGCATCTCATATGTAAAGCTCTGTGGTCCTTATCACAGTTGTTGGTCTCGGGACTATCCACCTCTCTGGCCAAACTCTGAGGCCTGTGGTTTCTGAGCCCACAAGAATGTCCAGCAACCAAAGCCCTCAGTGTCCTGCCCAATGTTAGCCTGGCACCAGTTGACATAAAAGGACAGTGTCAGTTATAGTCCTTTACACAGAAATCCCATGCCCTAGTTCTTGACAGCTGTAATTACAGCCCAAACAGCTTTTGAAAGGGAAAGAAAAAAAATGAAAATAGCAGCCTGGACTTAGCAGTGAATTGTGGGGTTTGGGGTAAGACATACAATCAGAGCACTTGCTATTAATGGTGGCCAGTCTAAACAAAGACTGGACGGCCAGACCAAACAGCTTTCTGACCAATTAATTTCTCCCTCTAATTTAATGAGCTGCTCATTAAGCATTAGAAGCAGCTCACACGAAGGGGGCTCCAGGAAGAGGCAAATGGGCCGAAAAGGCTGGCAGGTAATGAGGGAAGAAGAATTAGGGGGTAGAGATGAAATGGGTGCAGCACACTCTAGCCCCAAATGGCTTCAGATACTGTGACTGGCAAGCCCCACTCTATACCTGGTCAGGTGATATTTTCCTGTACCTTTGTTCATTCTGTAAAGGTGTGTTTCTGCCACTGGCTCCTTTACTGAGGACATGACAGGCCCTAGTTCCTTGGTTCCCCAAATGGGGTCATGACTGATACCAGCATCTCAAAGAGCACTCAGCAGGGCTACAAAGGGCACAGTAGGGCTGCAAAGGGCACAGGCCTGAGTGTGAATCCAACTCTGCCTATTAATAGCAATCTAACCTGAATTATACAAAATGCTCAAGGTTCCATGTCCCTATCTATAAAATGTAATAATATCCTCATCTTGTCTAGAGCTATAAATATCAATATTAAAACACCTAACAAAGCACCTGACACATAAGTAGCTCCTATCAGTAGCTACTATTCATGTAGATATGACTTTCTTAATGATAGTGAGATCAGCAATAATATATTTCTCTGTCCCCCAGTTAAATATGAATAAAAGAGCTTTCTTTGACTGACACCCTAATGACAGGCCAGTTCCAGTCCTTCCTATAATAGCAGCAACAATAAGAGCAATGGCCCATCCTAACAATGCTAATACCCCAATATTCCCTAGATAAAACCTCTCTACTTTCTGGCTGAGCTAGAAGACAAAGAAAGTAGAAGTGGCCTGGAAATACTGAACTATAAGCTTGTAGCCAAAAAGGTAATGATACCTGCATGTTTCCATGAGGCTGTATGGCAAAATGCATACATTCAGACCATATGCCTACCCCTTCCTAGGTCTCTATGACTCCTTGCTATAACTCTGAGTTGCAGATTATGGTAACATGATCCCCCATATAACAGTTTGCTATGAATATTAAATGTAATTGCTTATGTGAAAGCGCTTTGAAGCTACTTATTACTTAGTCCATAAAAATAGGGTTATTGTATTTAATAGTAATCTCAACAAATTCAACTTAATAAAGATTGGCAGGATCCAGTCACTAAAAAAATTATTTTATTAGGCTGATGTTCCACTCAGAAAAACAGTAGCAAACTTACTTATTTTCTTCCCAACATAGACGTACATGAAGCTCCCAGAATTAGTTTTGCTTTCCATTTAGGTGAGCAGGTTATTCTATAGGAAATGTACCAGGAGCCCAAACAAGGCTATATCTGGAAATAACCAATCCAGCCATCCATAACGCCAATTCTCTCTAAAACTCAATTATAATCCATTTTACTAACCCCAAGTCTACCTCTGAAATGCACAGACTAACGCAATTTCTACAATTTCAGTGTGGAGCACAGGACAAGTTTCTTCACAGTGGTCAGAAGACAACTTATTTCTGTCCAATCTCTGCTCCATGTACCAGAGTAAGAAGGTAGACCGATGGAGTGGCTCAAGTGGTACAGCACTTGCCTAGCAAGTACAAAGCCTTGAGTTTAACCCCCCACTATCATTATTTTAAAAAAAAAAAGGCAGCAACAGATTACAATGTACATTGAACTCTAATTCTAGAGTCCACAAGGTGGTAAGACAATGCACACACACATCTAGAGCCTGAAGCAACTAACCAAGGAAATTTTACTGAAATCTCACATTTAAAGTTTCAAGTACATTTTTTATTCTATGCCACAACAAATTAACTTTTAAAGAATGTTTTGAGTCAATTCCCAGCTGACTTCTAAACTTTTTTCCTCAAAATCTTAGCATGAAAATGATACCTCACTATTCTCCTTCATTACCTGGCCAAACTCAATTTGAGGAGCTGCAGGCCACAAGAGAGACAAGACAGTACTTCTCAGCCATTACATCCATTTTAACCTTGGCCATTTATCAAGCTCAACAGCCCAATTCAGAAGAGCTTCCTGGACCACATTGGGAGAGGGGCTCTGGGACTTGCAAAGCACCCATTCTAGAACCTTCCACACCATCTATCTGAGAGGGCCAGCAGCTAGGCTGCTTGAAGCCCAGCTCCACACACATCCATCCCCACCTCCAGACACTTACCCGTATCCTGCGCATAGCAGCCACGATCTCCACCCTGCTGTTGGGTCTTGGCACATCCAGGCTTCCTACGTACTGTGGGGAAGAACAAAGAGACACTGAGAAGAGGGAGGATGAGAGTTCCTAATCACAGAATGTCAATGATGGAAGGACCTTTGGAGGTTACCCAGTTCATCTCCCCATTTTATAGATTAGAAAATTAAAAGGCAAATGGTGTTTTCTTTTGAGATTGCTTCTAACTTAAAAAAAAAAAAAAAGCCACTTAACCAGAAATCACTACTTCCTTTTCTATCTGCTCTTGATCAGAGATGCAGCAGAGCACTGTAGGCTCAGGGTGGAGATTCTTACCACTATCTTTATAGCAAAGAACTTTGCTTTTCTTTGTCCCAATGAACTCCTCTGTAAGATCACCACTAAAATCTATTATAAAAAAAAAGTACTTGACAAAAATTAATGCACTAAAAAAATAATATATACTTTTTTAATTAACAAAACATGACTTTCAGATATATTGGAGACCTCATATATTTTAATCAGTTCCTGACTGGAGGAAACAAATGGACTAATAATTTTTACTTAAAAAATTTTTAACTTGATCATACTTTTTTTTTTTTTATACAGGGTTTCCCTATGAAGCCCACGCCGCCCTTGAACTCATGGTCCTCTAGCTTCTGACTCCTGGCTCTGGGATTATAGGTCTGAACCACCACACCTGGCCCTAATTACACTTTTATTTTCAAAACCAAATCACATGCAGGTTAATGTATAATATATTTGTACTTCCTTGGTGAAAACTATTCAAATAATGCAAAAATATACAAAGCAAAAGAATAAAGTTCCCACTCTCAAACAGTACACGCTCTTTTTTGTGTACTGATGAACATATATTCATGACATGGGGGAATCTATTCTGTCAGATTAGGTCACTGTGCTTTCAGGAGCTAACTCATCTATACATCATTGAGCTCATCCAAGGAGCTCTTTAGGCTGGATTCCTAGAAGTGAGATTGCTCAATCAAAAGCATAATCTGTAGATATCATTCCATGTGAAGATGAAAAGAACAAACAAAAAAGAGCCCAATATATGTGATATTGGTTCCTTCATATACCATCCCATTCTGCCTTCTTTCAGTGTGGAAGTGACTCCCCACCAGCCACGGTAGGGCTGTCCCCCAGGGGCCAGACTGCACCGTGCCCACTGCTTACCAGCCAGCTCACTGGCTGCTTGTTAATTGGCGTTCTTCAGTGTCTCAACACAGATTGCTGATCAATACTGGGGAAATCCTTCTTCAGTGTTGTTGGTGAAACTCTCATCACTGTAGCCAGGCCTTAGCTTCAACTTTTGGGAAAAGCTTTCTTTTCCCATAACCATAGAAATACCTTCCCTGTACAGATGACTGTACTGTTCTTATTTTCCATTAATGTAGTCTTTGTTTGGGTAGAACTTGAAGTTGTTTTTTTTGATATCTCAGCTGTTTTAACTTTTTTTTTTTTTTTTTTTTTTTTGCTTAGGCAGGCACTCTACTACTTGATCCACATCTTCAGCCCTCTTGGGCTTTTTCATGTGATTTGCTTATAAACAGGAAAAGCAAATTCCTGTGGGCCACTATGTAATGGGATGGAAATGGGCACAGAATGGGTGGTATATGAAGGAACCAATATCACATATATTGGGCTCTTTTTTGCTTGTTCTTTTAAAACTCTTCAGATGATCCTACCTAAGGTGCAGCTTAGTAGAGCTGGTTTATCTGCTCCAGATGCATTCTCAGAAAGGCAGAGTCAAGATTTTCTTCATATGATTGGGAAGGAAGGAAAGAAGAAAAGTGAGTGTGTAGTGTGAGTGTGATGTGGTAGTGGGTGTGCAATGTGAGGTGGGTGAGTGGCATGCAAAGTGTGTGAGTACATGTCACAGCAAGTGTGTGTGGAGGTGTGTAGTGTGTTGTACACACAGATGGAATAGTGTTGTCAGACTAATCCGTGGCTAGCACTTCTCTCTGACAAGCTCTGCTGGGACCACAACAGTCTGTCAATATGTCAGTGACCTGCACAGCCAGGAATGACTCAGGCTCCAGTTCCTGATTGCTCAACTTCAAAGTTGGCCTGGGGGTAGTTTCCACACTCCCTCTGCTAGATACTGCATGGCAGATGTCTCTTGTCCTGAACTCCATGCAGTCACGCTTGTGTTCCCCACACCATCACGTGAGGGCCAGGACCTCAGAACAGAGCAAGGTCACTGATTACCAAGAAGCCTGGGGGACTGTACAGTCCTCCCACACTGATTCCTGCCAACTCAGTGAGCTCCATTACCAAGCCCAAACACACAGAGGGGAGAGCCCCCTCCCTACTCCTCACACCCTAACCTATCCCTCCTCCTTGGGGAGGAGTACTGCTAACTGAGAATGCTGAAGCTGTAGGAAAATGGGTTCAGAGGGAACAGAGGCAACACTGAGGGAGAGGAGAGGTGATTTTTCTAGCATCTGACTAGGCTTTCTGACAAGAGCATAGAATTCTACATGTGAAGGAGCTCCTGGTAGCATCTAGCATCTTCACCTACATGTACAACACACTACACACCTCCACACACACTTGCTGTGACATGTACTCACACACTTTGCATGCCACTCACCCACCTCACATTGCACACCCACTACCACATCACACTCACACTACACACTCACTTTTCTTCTTTCCTTCCTTCCCAATCATATGAAGAAAATCGTGACTCTGCCTTTCTGAGAATGCATCTGGAGCAGATAAACCAGCTCTACTAAGCTGCACCTTAGGTAGGATCATCTGAAGAGTTTTAAAAGATATACAAAGTAGATTTAGGTCTACATATCCTAAATAAAAGCAAATATCCACATTAATAACATGAAATCAAAAAGAGAACCACAATGCCAGGGACATAGAAAGGTCAGAAAGCCAACTCCTCAGGGCAAAGTCAGAGGATGTGATAAGTGAAAACATCTTTCTGTATAAGTCTGACTCCATAACCTAAAGAGCATTTTGGTATCTAACTTCTACCATCTCCATAGCTAATATATCAGTCCATCCCTGAATTTCTGTCTTGAGCAAAATGTGAGAGGTGTTCTGAAACCAGACCATTGGTGAGGGTGGTCCTTCTGATTGCTCAACTTGAGTGGTCAAATGTACCTCATTTCTGTGGTAAACTGGGCCTGGGCTGGCAGTCACCCACACTGGGCTGGAAAATTAACTCCTAGGCCTGAACCTTGTCCCCCACCTGACCTAAAAACCTGCAGAGATAGAGGCTTCTGTCACTTCCTACATGGATCAGGCAAAAATAATTTCTTGCCCTTCAGTCAAAAACTGATACTGGAGGCAGGTTATCACTCAGCAATGGCTTCCCAGGCTCCTAGGTGGGTTGGTCCAGTGCTGAGGAATTGGATGAATAATTTCCAAAATAGAAACTCATGTTTCTTTCCTTCCATCCCCCATATCATTTCTCTTACCTATTGTTCCTCACCCCGATTAACAGCTCCTAGCAAATCCACCTGTCACTCAAGCCCGAAACTCTGGCATCATCCTTGACAGGCTTCTCCTTTAACCGTCACAGCTCATCAGCGACCAGGACCTGTCAATTCTCTCCCCTCCCACCTCTATGTCTAAACTGCCACTATCTGATCCCAGAAAACCTTCCTCTTTCACTTAATCCAAGCATAGGCCTCCTCACTGGTTTTCCATGGCCTCTGTATCCCTCTCCAACCCATTCTCCACAAGGCCACTAGTGATCTCTTTAAAATGCAAATGAGGTCATTTTATTATCTTACTTAAGAAACACCCATGCTGCTTCCAACTGTTCTAAAGATGACAATCATAATCCTCAGCATGGAGCCAGATGTGGTGGTACACACCTATAATCCGAGGCAGGAGGGTCAGAAGCTGGACTACACAGCAAAACCCTGTCTCAAAAAAAAAAAAAAAAATCCTCAGCATGGCCTCCACAGCCTGCATGGTCCGGCTTCATTTCACTCCTGTTGCCTCTGCAATTATTCTGAAGTTCCTCTAACATACCTACCTACTTCCTCACTTTGGAAAGCTTTTACACATGCTCCTCCCTATACACAGAACACTCCTCTCTACCCTCTCTCCCCTAATTCTACTAAATTTCTATGGCCTCCTTGCTTATTCCAGGGAAGGTAAAGATACCACTATTGAGGACTCCCATAACTTCCTACAACTCTCCTTCATAGCATCAACATATGGCTAAATACATTATTGCATCAAATTAAAAAACTTCTGCACAGCAAAAAAAAAAAAAAAAACAATCAACAGAGTGAAGAGAATGGGTGAAAATCTTTGCCTGCTATTCATTCGACAGGGGATCAATATCTAGAATACATAAATACAAAAAAGTAATCACAGAACAGCAAAAAAAAATCCAATCAATAAATGGGCAATGGAACTGAACACTTTTCAAATAAAAAAGTCAGTAAGTACATGAAAAAATGTTCAACATCCTTAGGCATGGGGGAAATGCAAATCAAACTGCACTGTGATTGATCAGAATGGCTATAATTAGGATGGGGGGAAGATGTCTTATTCACTGCTGATGAGAATATAACTTAGTCTAGCCCCTATGGAAATAAGCTTGGAGGTTCCTCAAAAATTAAAAATAGAAGCCCCATATGATCCAACCATACACTTCAAAGAATCAAAGGCAGCTTAGTATAGAGATACCTGCATAACCATGTTTATTACAACACTATTCACAATACCCAAGTTAAGGAATTGGCAGAGGTGCCCACTGATGGATGAATGGATAAAGAAAATGTTGTAGAGTTTTACTCAGCCATAAAGAAGAATGAAATTATATCATTTGCAGGAAAATGAATAGAACTGAAGATCACCGTGTTAAGTGAAATAAGTTAGTCCCACAAAGACAAGTACCACATTTTTCTCTTATATGTGGAATCTAGGGGGTTAAAAAAAAAAAAATATATATATATATATATATATATATGAAATAAAAGCAGGACTGCTAGGGATATGGAAGGGAAAAAGGAGGAGGGGAATAAGGAATTAATAAGAGGGAATGAGTATGCATACATTATATG